TACCAACATACTGAAAGTATATTGTGGCATTATAGAACAGAAAATAAAAGTTAAATATTATTAGTAGCAGCAATTAAATTACCAGAGTTCCCTGTTAACCAATTGTTTTTCCACTAAACTAAAAGTTGACATGGCTATCTTTTGGTTTTGGCTTTATAATATGGATTTTTTTGTGTGTGTTACTATCATTATGAAGTAGTGTGGTAAAAGTCAAGCTGTCTTTGACAAAGCTTATAAAGTGTCTTTGGATTGTCATGTTATACATGCTATCACAGTCATTCTGCAGATTTAATTCTAGGAGTGGGGCTTCAGTGAACACTACCCTTGGATAAATTTAGGTAGCTAGACAGACTTCCATTTTAGCTTAGGCTTATTTTTTTCTTTTATATTTTTTTCTTCATCCTGATTTTTAAAAAAGTGATCTAATTTTAGTTAAATGAAATCTGGGCTAATCAGAAATCTTTTTTTTTCTATCTGTAGCATAGTATAAATTAGAACTTTTGAAATAAGTGTTTCTATTTTAATAATTCCAAAAGGTCATTACTTTTAATCTGCCCAAATCACAAGACTACAAATGCATAGTCCTCACAGTTTCGCATTCAACTCCAGGAAAATACAGGGACATATTCAACTCCAGGAAATCCAGGGACATATTTCGTGTAGACAAAATACAACTTGAAATCACATTTTTATAGTAAAAAAGATCAGGAAGAGGAGAAGCTTGCATGTTAATTTTGTGTTTAAAAGACAATGTTATGCCATAGATTAGGTCAAAAATGTAAAACTTAATTTAAAGTTATTTTGTGTTGAAAATTTGGATTTGATTTATTTTTTCATATTACAAGCATGGAAAATACACTCAGTAAAAAAGAATTTTTTGATGATGACAGGACCAGTAAAATTAAAGTACATGTTACATTCTACTTTATTGTACTTTAATTCTACCGGTCCTGTCATCACTAGAAAATTCTCCTTCTCTTTCCTTGTCACAGGCTCTACTGACTATTCTATATGTCAAAGGTGTGATCTTTGGATTACATATATCAGCATCAACTCTGTCTTATGAATGTTTAATAATCAGATTTCTAAGCACCCTGGCAAACTTGCTGATATTGATTTTGAATGATGAGGCTTAGAAACAAGAATTTTGATAAGCTTTTAGGAGTTCTGTGTACTTGAGAGGTAGATAACCCTTGAATTATATAAAACAATAAAATTAAAACAAAATGTCTGACTGGGATGCTAAAGTTATCTGTTATAATTTATGCCAAGGAAACTATCAAATACATAAACAATTGAACTTTCCTTAGACTCTTATGGTACACTTATTTTCCCTTTAATGGAATTTTATTTTTCTTCAATAATTATGCTGCTAAAGTCTATAAAAATGCTGTGAATAAAATATGTATACACACACATCCATAAATAGCTCATATGATATAGTACTAAATAATAATTTAATAACTATAACGTTTTAAATGATGAATATTTATAATAAATATAATTGAGGATAATTTATGTACCAGTTATTTTGATGCTTATCATTTACTATATTTTGTTCCTTCAGCTTCCTTTAATCAGGTCTCAAGAACTTTTTTTATATCAAAGCCAAGAGTTTGACTTTTGGTTCTCTCGAGGTCTTTATTTTACTCTTTTCTCTAGGCCAATGACTGTCTGTTATTTTAAAATTGAGTTTTAATTTGTATGTCATCATTTGCAAAACAAAATTGTATGTTTGTAACTGGATATATTAGCTTAGTTTAAATGGTAAAACTGCAGCTAGAACTGTTGAAAAGGAAAATAAGAGAATATTTTAAAACAATATTCCAGTTTATAAGAAACAAGACATAGCTTCATTAAAAAATGATTACATTTCTGATAGTTATAATTGTAAAATCATGGGGAAAAGAAATAATATGTTGTTATAGTTTGAAGTTATATACAAGAATCAGCAAAAGAATAGCCCAAGAGTAGTTGATAAAGCTGAGATACCAAGTGAAGCTCAATACTAGCTTGGAAAAGGGAGCTGAGAGCTACACTTCTGGGACACAGTCATGTTATTTAGTCACTCTAAGTCAAATTTACAACTGCAAATTGGTATGGTTTTATAACATTATTCAAGAAGTATTTATTGGGCCTATATGTCAGATGTTGTACTTTTCGTTAGATATAGACTACAGGAAAAAACAATGGATATAAAGTCCTTAGAAATTTCTGGTGTACACATGACATATACTCTAATATTGGCCACAGAATTGGACTTAAAACAATCATCAGCAAAATTAAAAAAAAAAAAGCATACCAACACATTTTCAGACTACAATGCAGTAAAAAAATCATGACTAAAACATCACTCAAAACCATACAATTAAATGGAAATTAAACAGCATACTCCTGAATTGCTCTTGAAGAAATAATGAAATTAACACAGAAATAAATAAGTTGTTTGAAACTATACAACATACCAAAATGCATGAGAAACAGCTAAGGCAATGTTAAGAAAAAAATGTATAGCACGAAAAGTGCACATCAAAAAGTTAGAATGATCTCAAATTAATAACCCAACATCACAACCTAAAGAATTAGAGAAGCAAAACAACTCCACATGTAGCAGAATACAAGAAATAACCAAAATCATAGGTCAGTTGAAGGAGATTGAGATAAAAAAAAATCATTGAAAACAACAAATCCAAGAGTTGCTTTTTGGAAAAAAAAAAAAAGACTACTAGCTAGATTAACAAGGAAGAAAAGAGAGAAAACCCAAATAACACAATTAGAAATGTCATAGAGAATGTTACCACTGAATCCACTGAGGAATACAAATAGCCATCAGAGATTACTATAAACACCTCTATACAAACAAATTGGAAAACCTAGAAGAGATGAATAAATTCCTGGACACATACACGCTCCTCAGATTGAAACAAGAAGAAACTGATTCCCTGAATGGACCAATAATGAGCTCTGAAGTTGAATAAGTAATAAATTTCCTGCCAACTATAAAAATCCCAAGACTAGGTAGATTCACAGTCAAATTCTACCAGATGTACAAAGAAAAGCTGGTACAAATCCTACTGAAACTATTCCCAAAAATTGAGGTGGAGGGACTTTTCTCCAACTCATTCTATGAGACCAGCATCATCCTCATACCAAAATCTGGCAGAGACACAACAACAAAAAAAAGAAAACTTCAGGGCAACATCCTTGATAAATATTGATGCAAAAATTTTCAACAAAATACTTGCAAACCAAATTCAGCAGCACATCAAAAAGCTATTCCCAACATGATCAAGTAGGTTCTATCCCTGAGATGCAAAGTTGGTTCAACATATGTCAATCAATAAATTTGATTCATTACATAAAGAAAACTAAAGAAATAACTACAAGATAATGTCACTAGATGCAGAAAAAGCTCTTAAAAGTTCAACATTCATTCATGTTAAGAACTCTCAATAAACAAGCAATTGAAGGAACATACCTCAAAATAATAAGAGCCATCTCTGACAAATACACAGCCATCATCATACTTAATGGGAAAAAGCTCAGAGCATTTTCCTCAAAACTAGCACAAGATAAATATGCTCTTTCTCACCACATTAGTCAATATAGTATTAGAAGCCCTGGCTGGGGCAATCAGACAACAGAAAGAAATAAAGGGCATTCAAATAAGAAGAGAGGGAATCCATCTATCCTTGTTTGCAGATGACATGATTCTATATGTACAACAGAAAATCCCATGGTCTTTCCTCCCCCAAAAAGCTTCTATTGCTGATAAAAAACTTCAATAAAGTTTCAGAATACAAAATCAATGTACAAAAATGACTAGTATTCTTATACACCAACAATATCCATGTTGAGGGCCAAATCAGGAATGCAATCCCATTTACAACTGCCACAAAAAGAATAAAATACCTAGGAATACAGCTAGCTACAGAGGTAAAATTATCTAAAATGAGAATAAAACACTCCTCAGAGAAATCAGAGATAACATAAAGAAATGGCAATCATTCCGTGCTCATGGATAGGAAGAATCAGTATTTTTAAATTGCCATATTGCGCAAAGCAATTTACAGATTCAGTACTATCCCTATAAAACTATCAATGAGGTTTTTTACAGAACTAGAAAAATCTATTTGAAAATTAATATAGAACCCAAAGACAGCCAAATTGCTAGTGTAATCCTAAGCAAAAAGAATAAAACTGTAAGTGTCATGTTACCGAATTTCAAACTATACTACAGTGCTACAGTAACCAAAACAGAATGGTACTGTTAGAAAAACAGACACATAGACCAAGAAAACAGAATAGAGAGACCAGAAATAAGGCCACACACCTATATCTATCCGATCTTTGAGAAAATTGACAAAACAAGCAATAGGAAAATGATTTCCCGTTCAATAAATGGTGCTGGGATAATTTGCTAGCTAAATATGCAGAGGACTAAAACTGGACCGCTTCCTTACACCTTATTAAAAAAATCAACTCCAGATGAATGAAGGACTTAAGTATACAACCCAAAACCCTGAAAACAACCTATGCAAGGCCATTCTCTATATAAGAGTGGGTGAAGATTTCATTATTAAGACCACTAAAAGCAATCTCAACAAAAGCAAAAATTGACAAGTGGAATCTAACTAAACTCAAGAGCTTCTGCACAGCAAAAGAAACTATCAACAGAGTAAAAAGACAATCAACAAGATGGGAGAAAGTATTTGCAAACTATGCATCTGAAAGAGATCTAACATCCAATATATATAAGGAACTTAAATACACCAATAAGCACAAAGACAAACAACCCCATAAAAAATGGGTAAAGGAGGTGAACAGACAGTTACTTTCAAAAGAAGACATACATGTGGCCAACAATCATATGAAAAAAAGCTCAATATCACTGATTATTAGAGAAATGCAAATCAAAACCATACTGAGATAACATCTCACACCAATCAGAATGGCTATTACTAAAAAGTGAAAGAATAAGAGATGTGATGCTATGAGATCATGGAGAAAAAGGAACACTTATACACTGTTGGTGGGAGTGTAAATTAGTTTAGCCAGTGTGAAAAGCAGTGCGGTGATTCCTCAGAGAGGTAACAACAGAACTATTATTCAATCCAGCAATCTCATTACTGGGTATATTCCCAAAGGAATATAAATTGTTCTCCATAAAGACACATGCATGTGCATTTTCAATGCAGCATAGTCACAATAACAAAGACCTGTAATCAGCATAAATGCCCATCAATGGCAGGCTAGATAAAGAAAATGTGCCATATATATATGCAGTCATAAAAAAGAACTAGTTTATGTCTTTTGCAGGAACACAAATGGAACTGGAGATGATCATCTTTAGCAAACTAACAGGAACAGAAACCCAAATACTGCATGTTCTCACTTACAAGTGGGAGCTGAATGATAAGAACACATGGATACAAGACAGGAACAACAGACACTGGGGCCTACTTAAGGGTGGAGGATGGGAAGAGAGGGAGGATAAAGAAACACACAACTATTGGGTGCTCTGCTTTTTACCTGAATGATGAAGTAATCATTCATCATGCAAGTTTACCTATAATACAAACCTGCAGATGTACCCTGAAATTAAAATAAAAGTTAAAAAAAGAGAAATTACTGGCATATAGAAAGCACACAATAAATCATGTTAGATGAATTATGCCAAAAACATATTAAAATAAATTATGTGTACATAGCAAGAAAGGGCTACAGAGGAGTTTAAAATGCAGGAAAAACACAGGGACAGGATGCACTGAAATGGGGTTCTGAGAAATAGATCTTATCTTCTAAGGACCTCTGACATTATGTACAGGGTAGAATGAGGGAGAGAAATAAGGCAAGCGAGATTTAGTCCTTCTTATGGATTCTAATTAAAGCTATCACAGTCTGAAACATGTTTATATTCGCATATGTATACATATATCTGTGTGTCAAAAGATTTAAGGTAGATCAAAATTCAGGAATAGGCTGCAGTTATAGAAGACCTGGGAAAGGTAGGGTAGTCAATCCTTCCATCTCCTGTTTCCTCTAAAATCCATGTGAGACTAAGTGCTCCTAGAATAGTATGAAATTCAAGCTAACATGTATCACATAATATTATCCAAACATCTTACTTGTCTGCACTCTAGAAAATCTATCAGAGGAGGAACTCTTTGTGTCTTTTTTTTTTTTTTTTAATGTATCCCTGGTGCCTAGCAGAGTGCCTTGAAACAGAAAAGACACACAGTGAATAATCCGTTCATTGCTGAAAGAATCTCATCTCAACTTATTCAACAACAGACATTTTTCTCTTTAATTTTCCATTTGCATGTTTAATATGTGCATATTCTCTTTGTAAACGGAGGGAAAAAATAAGAGGAGAGAAATAAAATGTTCGAATCAAACATTTCTCTTTCTCTGCTTCAGAGGTTCTGAAGCTGGAGGTTCTTGTGTCTCACATTACCTTTCTAAGAATGGAGGGATGAAATGGGGAGAAATGCCAGATGTAGGTGACGGGGTGATGGAGGCAGCAAACCACATTGCCATGGGTGTACCTATGCAACAATCCTGCATGATCTGCACATGTACCCCAGAACCTAAAAATCAATCCAAAAAAAAAAAAGAATGTTGCTTGTCCTTTCCTCCACATAAGCACAACATTTCACTTAATAATTCCATGGTGATGGTGCATGTTTGGATGTAGTCCCTAGAATAAGCATCGTGACATCAATGTGATACATTGTAATGTTTTGAAGTTTCCTTATTCTGGAATTTCTAAAATTTATTCTTCTACATATCTGCCAAACAGTATATAGAGGAGATAGTTTATAGAAGTTTCCCTAGTTTGAAAGGTTTTATTAGTGCTAATCATCTTTCAAGGCTGAATACCAAAGAACATTTAATCTGCAAGAGAGAGGAATCTTTCACATTCTCTTCTACACTCTAAAAATATAAACTTAAGCTGTGATGGAGTAATTATGTGTACTGTAGCACTTTGTGTATTACTATTCTGGGATATGTGCACATTTGCCTGAGGGTGTATATAAGATGGATGGTATAAAAACATAAACAAAGTGGGTTGGGTGCTAGCAAAGCATAAAATTGGAAACATTTGATGGACTGTTTTGTACTTCGTTGTTTTCTACTTCTACTGCTCTGCTTAGGTGGCAATTACAGAACTTGAATTCAGGATAGAACAGTATTTTTCTGGCAGCAAATTCCAGAAGTAACTGCATAGGCTGTTTTAGAATGGCTACTAAGTCACTTTTCTGATTAGACTACTGATGAGATGCCTCAGGTACCTTGTTCTTTCCTGCAGGCCATTTCCTTTTTTATTTTTTGAGACGAAGTCTCACTCTGCCACCCAAGCTGTAGTGCAATGGTGCGATCTCGGCTCACTGCAACCTCCCCCTCCTGGGTTCAAGTGATTCTCTTGCCTCAGCCTCCCGAGTAGCTGGGACTACAGGTGGGTACTACCATGCCAGGCTAATTTTTGTATTTTTAGTAGAGATGGGGTACTACGCTGGCCAGGCTGGTCTCGAACTACTGACCTCATGGATCTGCTTACCTCCGCCTCCCAAAGTGCTGAGATTACAAGTGTTAGCCACCATGCTCAACCGCCATTTCCTTTTAATTTCAATTTCAATCCAGAGACATATATATGATGGCCTAGAAAGCTCAAATTTTTCTGGCCCTTACTGCCCCTCTGACCTCATTTCAGGCCACAAGAAAAAGAGAAGAAATACAGAGTGACTTCTACAACAGTTATGTGGAGAACTCTATGACCTGACTCTATGTAGCAACCATTTCTGGTCCTCTAGGATAGCACAAAGAGTCAACAAGTGAGTTTAGACAAATGGTAAAAAAAAGAAATCAACTCGGGTATTAGTATTTCAATAATCTCAGTGCATGCCCCAATGTTATATATGGTTTTGATATGTTAACCTGAAGTAACAATTTCCTGATTTATTGCATACAGTTCAGGAATAGTGTTGGCATCAGTGAGATGACAATACTGTCATTTGCAGGATAGGTCAATTTCTAACATAGTAAGCATTTGATAAATAAGCATTCAATAAAATTTGTTAAAATTGAATAAAATAAAAAAATATTGGCAGCATTCGAAATAATTACAGTTAACCTGAGTGATTACAAAATTAATATTCATTAGTAACCAGTTTGATATGACTTTTTTGACGGGCTTGAACCCAGTTTTGAATGTTGTTTACCAATTTTCAGCATCTTTGAAATAATTATTATGCATTACTTTGGGGTCCAATTTTAATTAAAGAATGTTGGTGAGAATGCTCTAAAAATTAAAACAAATTATAAGAATTAGATTGGATACTTTACAAAAATAACTTATAAAGTATAATAACTTGCCTTTTAGATTAAAAAAAAATTCTTAATAGAATGTCGCTGTGTAAGAAAAGACTTGTTTAAAGTTAAATATATTCAGATTGCTTTTTTTTTCTTTCCCTAATATAAAATTATTTACTTTGATGTGAAGTTATAAAGTTGGGATTAGGGATATCATCATGCATGCAGAGACACCATCAGTACAATCATCCCACAGGTAACAATGATAGGTAGAAAGAAGGGTGTATCAACCATTTTACCCCAAACCTCAGCATCACACAATATGCCCATGTAACAAACCTGCAAATCCATTCCCTGAATCTAGAATAAAAATTAGAATTAAAAAGAAAGAAGTGATTAAATGACAGTTCTTCATTTGAACCTGCCTATTTTCTCAAACTATTTTATTGAGAGTATAACAAATTATTTTAAAGACATTATTTTCACTTAGAATTTTTTTGTGATTTGTGTTTGATACTAAAATAACTGTCAAATATAGTAACAAAATGGAAGATAATGCTGAATGAATGCAAATGAAATTGGTTTAGAAGGCAAAAAAAGGGATAGAAAAGACAAACAGCATCTAAAATGAATGGCAGTATGAATAAGAAATTTTTTGCTTATTTGTTTAGCTAGGAAAACATCTAAATGGCATATTAGTATAGTTTTAAATTCATCTTATATGACAAATATTAATTTCACCATTATCATAAAGTTTATTTTAACTTTTATACCTTTCAAATAAATGTGTTTTAAACTCTTATGTAGTTTAACTGTCTGGTTACATTTTATTATTTTAATGTTGCTAAATGCTACTAATATTTTAAAATATTTGCTCACTAAGAGTTCATATTTTATTTTATGATTCAAATTAGAAAAAGAGTTATAATGTGAATATATAATGAGCTTGAGTATCCAACAGTTTAGTTTACAAATGACTATCCACATATATATATATACATTCTATTTTATAATGCTTTTTGCATTTTGCATAAAAGAAAACTGAATAGCATAACGAGTAATAAGAGAAGGAACCACATATAAAATTTGGGGTCCTCTGGCTTTGTAGGTCATGAATATTCAAATACCACCAGTTGGAAGGAGTCTTTAACACACATGACCATGACAGTCAACAAATTGGAATTTTAGTGCATACTTCTACCATGAATTAACTATAATCCCTTAAAAAGGTTAATAAACTTGTTTAGATGGTACATTCCTTGTTTGTGAAATAATGATTGATATAAATATTGATTCTCATTCCTACCAGCTCTAAAATTATTCTGTGTAGCTGGAGCCCTACCATCTTCCTGGACATGTGTTAGGATATGAATATGTTCAATGTAACAGCACATTTCCCTACTTAAGTTTTGAACCAACTCATTCAAATAGAATAGATGAAGAACATAAATATCATCTTTATTACTAATAAAGCTTGTATTGGGTAACTTGCTCCACCACTGACAAAGAAAGGTAAAGTGAAGAGAAACGCTAGATATCCAATGTCAATTTATTAATATATTCCTCTTCTTGAAATACCAAGAATGAAATGTGTTTATTTCTTAATATTCCATTAGATTATACATATAACTCAAACCTAAATAATCCTTCTGGAACTCCCAAAAGAGAGAATGAAATAAAAATGACTGAGTTTCTTAAAAACCTGCTTATTATATTAACTTGTTTACTTCTTTCTAGTTTATCTTCTTTTTTTCTAATACGTATTTTAGTCAAAGGCTACAATACCTAAGAACCTTCTTTTTTGGTTTGAAATGCCTTTATTTATTCACATTAAAGACCAACCTCTGTATAATAACTGGAAATAGGAAATTTTATTAATTTTACGCTATTCAAATATCTGTTTACTATATTTAAAAGAAAGATAAATTAACTAGATATTTTAGATTTTTAAATAGCTCGTATAAAGTTTTGTTTATATGTATGTTTAATCTTTCATTTTGCATATGGAAATATGTTAGAGGTTTGAAGAATATTAATTATTTAAAAGAATTAATTAAAAGACATCTCAAATTTTATAGAAAGCTTATCATTAATTAGTCTTCCCATAGATCAAAATCAAAGACCTGAGCCAATGGCCTTTGTACTTATTTCTTTAGTGTACAATTCACAATTTACCCTTGGAACTGAAATAATGCCTGCACATTTGTTGTCTTCTGATACTGATTTTAGTATCTCATGGTCTTCTTGTTAAGAGAAGACAACAGAAATTTGTTTCATCTAGAAACTTTTAAAAAGTAAAAATATTAGTGGCAGAAAAAAGTTAAAAAAAAGAAAAGAGGATGGAGTAAATAAGTAAGAATAAATGTATTTTAAATCTAAGGATAGACAGTAAAACATGAAAAATCACGAAGATATAAATAATTTACAAAACAATATATTTTTGTAATAAAATACTTACTGAACATATATTAATTACTGTCCCAGGCACTGGGTTTAATTTGTGTAAAAGGTGGTATCTCACTTCAAGGAAGAGGAGACTGACACTTAAGGTAACAATTTACTACAGTGAGCTCAATCTCTAACGGGAATATGTAGAATGTGACTATACACAGGAGAGAGGTACCTGTCTATGTGACATGTAGAGGTAGGAAAGAGAAGTAGAAATTTAACAGATTTCACAGAGTAGGTAGCATTTAAAATGAGACAAAGAAAACTAAACATTGTTGCCAAGACTAGCATGACTAAAGAGAGATTAGTTTATGTATATGCAACATTCCATAACTAATGGTAAAACTCAACAAGAATATTTTTAACATTAGACATTAAAATAAACAAGAGTTATTCATTTAAAATAAATAAGACCTATTTATCTAAAATAAATAAGGCCTATTTATCTAAAATAAGACATTAAAATAAACAAGGTCTGTTTATTAGGATTCTGTGTTTCACAAAGGGGAAAAGTAAACATAACATCACTCACATTTGGCCATCTATTTTCCAAAGCAATTGAGCCATTCTACTGCATTATGGAATGGTTAGCAATTGATTTGATATTAATGATTCTTTTGAGGCCATGATTTTTGCTTGTTGTTGAGAATGAGGAAGCCAAGTTACAGAGATTTTAGAAACTGCATGGTTTTAGATTTTACTTTTAAGTCTTTGGGGCATTTAGAGATTCATTTTTTGAGAGGATGTGAAGGATGGGTTAATGTCTCTCTCCTCATCTTTTTTTACAGCAGATATCTGATTGTTCCAGCATCATTTCTTAAAAAATACATTCTTTTTCAATTGAATTTCTTTAGTACTTGTATTAAAAATCATCTGAAAATATGTAATTTGGTATGTTTCTATACTTTTTATTTTGTTCCACTGAACTATATGTCAGTCTTTTTGCCAATACCACGTCTTGATTAATGTAGCATTGTAATAGCTCTCAAAATTAAATGGTATTAATTATATATACTTTATCCTTTATAATTTTTTTCTCTACCCTAGATTACTTATACTTCTATCAAAATTTATTTATTTATTTATTTAACTTTTAATTTTAGCGGTACAAGCGCAGGCTTGTTACAAAGGTAAACTTGTGTCATAAAGGTCTGTTGTGGAGATAATTTCATCAACCAAGTATTAAACCTAGTACCCATTACTTATTTTTCCTGATCCTCTTCCTCCTCCCACCCCTTATCAGCTGAAACGTCCCAGTGTGTGTTGCTCCACTCTATACGTCCAAATTTATAATTAGACTGTCAATTACTACATTAAATAAATACCTACCCAAAATTTTATTGTAATTTCATTGAATCTGTAATTTGGGAAAACTGATGTCTTAAAAAGCATTGAGTTTCCAAATCATTAAATATGGTATATTTCTCCATTTACGTAATTCTTTAATAATTTTTCAGCAATATTTATAAGTTTAGTATGGCAGATTTAACATTTTTTGTTTAGTTAACCCCAAGCACATTTTTCCTGAAAATTATATACCTCAATTACTGTATCATTACAAACTTATACTTATTTTACATTACACACTCATTCTCTTTTATCATATATATAACATATATAGAGATATATATATAAAACAATGTAAATTCCAATTAAAGCTCCTGAATCTATATTAAGGTATTTGGATATAAATGCTACACAATATTATTCTTAAATAAGCCCCTTTTCTAACAAAATGTATAAATAAAACTACATCAAAATGTCTACATATATTTATGAATTAATGAATGGACCAGAAATAAATTATGGTAGGATGCTGTTGAAAGAAGAAATAAATCAACTAACATGTTTCTGTAACCTTATAGTTATTACTGAGATTTATCTGAATCAATTATTTTTAAAAAGTCATTGAAATAAATATAACACAGTAGTAAAATAAATATTGTCTCTTTTCATGTTAAAAATTTTAAATTGTTTAATGATTTTTACTTCCTTTGGTTGCCATTTAGAATATTTAAGGAGTTTTATATGGGAAATGTTAGCATTTCTAAACTTTCAAAATCCACATAAGGAGTTGTCATTTTAAAATTACTGTGCTTTCTATCTCTCACATATACCTGTTTGTTATTTCCTCGCTCAGTTAAATTTAGAAGTACCCACTTTTAAGACCATTTGAATCAAAACTACTAACCTTTTCTCTTGGTTTCTTTTATTTTTTTCATTCCCTTTTCAGATAGACAATTGAAAAGCACTATGGTAAATGGGGAAATTTCACATTCTAACATGATCCATTAAATAGCTAACATTTTGGCTTTATGTATGAAACAGAAGGTTTTAAAAATAATTTAATTGTGTAGGCTAGATAAAAATTATACAGTATAACCATAAAGCCAGATTTTATATAGATATAACAATACATACACACAAAAAACCGTATTTGCACTCTCTCTCCCTCTCTCTCTCTCTCTCTCTCACAGACACACACACACACACACACACATGCACACACACACACACCATCACCACAACCACTACTGCCAACATTTCTTTTTATAAATGTAAATTCATATCAGTAGTCTAGATATTTAATCATTCAAAAAATAAGTTTGGTCAAGTATTCTATTTAATTCTGCTTATCTTAGAACACAGTTTCTGAAGAAATGGAATAAGCCAGAGTTAGCAGCCTGCTACTGTTTCATCTTTAAATCATACTGTGGACTTCCCTCTACGTGCCCGACCTTTTGTCTCTTACCTTACATCTACAATTAATGTGGTTCAGTGCCCCTCTTGTCGGTAGCTGCTAATGAGATTTAAAGCCATCTTTAAAACCAGCTTAAGCAGCATTAGCGTTATTTGATGGCATTTTTTGATCTGCTTTAGTATCATGCATGTAAAAGGAACACACAAATTGATGTTTGGCAGAGGTGTCAATCAGGCACCTGATATATTCTTCCTGTTAAATTTAAATGTACTTTGAAATGATTCATGGTTGATGAAGGTTCCTTATACTAGGAGTTTTCTTTTTATGATCACTTTTTATGTTTATTTGTTTTTTGGTGTTTGCTTCAGTCTCATTCATAAAACTTAGAGATAGAGGGTCAAAATAATTTTGAACAATCCCTAAATGAAATACAGTAGCAGTACTAAAACTAGATACAATCTGTCAAGTACTTTGAATTTTCAGGTTTCTTAATGTATTAACATGTTTGAGTATAAAATAATCAAAATATAAATTATAGTATTCTACCAATTTGTAAATGTAATATTACAGTATTCTATAATCTTATATGATTGTACTAGTCTACAATTTGTAATATATAAGATTATAGAATTCTACAATTTGTAATATATAAGATTATAGTATTCTACAATTTGTAAAATATAATGCATGCATGATTTGTTGAAATTGTAAACGTCCTTTTGGATATATAAAAAAGATATCTTTAGAAAAGAAAAAAATGTATTCTTTTTTTTCAAGCATTACGTAAATACAAAAATGATACAATATTTTCCTATCAGGTTGGAAAAAAGAATGCAAAGGGACAATTCTATGATCCACTTTTAATGAGAACATAAGTAGTATATAGATTTTTGAATGGTAATTTTTATTAAGTATGAGAAAAAGGGAAAGTTTTCTTATTCTTTCTATCATATAGTCTTCTTCAATGAAAACATACTAAATAAATAACCCAGTTAAAGCAGAAGATTTATGTATATTTTCATGTATTGAGTGTATTGCAGTGTTATTTTAAACAACAATACATTAGAAATTAACATTTTGTTCAAAAATAAGGTCATATATAATACTGTACATGTACGTAGATATAATACATAGATAAGAAAGTATGATTTAGTATTTATGAAATAGTAAGAACAAATGTTTAAATATTGGAAAGTGAAAATAAATTCTCTCAAAACTATAAAGCTGGTGTAATAATACTTGGAGAAATGTTAGGTAGACAAGTAACAAAGAGTTAAAACTACCATTAACTGTCATTTATCACTATTGGAATTATGAACAGCTTCCATTTTCACACAGCCTTTATGTATAAATTTTCTCTAGTATGTACGTATGTCTTCAGCAATCAGAAAAATAATGTATATTAGATTCAAATCAAACAAATGTGAAGCTTCCTACCTGACACTCCCATGTCTAGAGACAGTTCTATGGTTTTTGGATATCTCTTGCTGTCATTATCTCCCCTGGCTGAAGCAGCTGGTGCTAAAATGAATTTTTGTGTGTTAAGAAGTGAGTATGATACCATCACTTCTTACAGCCTACATAGAATACATATCCCATCTTATAAGCTATCTGTAGTTGTTATTGTTGTTGTTGTTGTTTATAGTCAACATTTCAGGAATGAATCTGTAATGTGATTCATTTGTAGACAGACTAAGCCTCACAAAGACGTAATACTACAAGGGTATATACCACCTGTGATTTTTCTCTTAAAACATCTAAGAACTGCAGTTGTCAAAAATAAGCAAGTGACATCTAACCAGTAGAAGTATTTTTGCATAACAAAATATATACTGGCTTTTAATTGGATGGTGTAACTATGACAAAGGCTTTTCTGTGGATAACACAACCCATATTTGGTAGCAAATATGCATTTTTAATGTACATGATAGTACAACCTGAAGCAGTGGTAAGTAAAATATACCCTGTATGCTATACCTAGCTTACCTCCTGTTTTTGCAAAACCCAAGACATAAAAATGGTTTTACATTTTTACATGCTTGAAAAGAAATTATAATAATAATTATCTTGTAGTAAGTGAGATTAATATGAAGTTCAAATTTCAGCATTCATGAAGCTTTATTGGAATACAGCCACACTCAATACCTGCACATTGTCTGTGACTGCTTTCACTCTACAACTGCAGAGTTGAGTAGTTAAGATTGAGTAGTTAAGACAGAGACCATATGTCCTGAAAAGCTGACAATATTCACTCTCTGTTGATGCCTACATTGAAGTATATTGCTCGCGCAATTTAGTTTGAGTCCACAAGAAATGCATAATAATTCTAGCTACAGAATATTTATTCTTGATACCCCACCTTAACTTTTACATGACATCTACATGGGTGGCTTGAAGTTGTTATTATGTCTTTTAGTCTTTCTAATACACTTATTATGAAGCAATGTGTTTAAGGAAATGTGCATTTTCTTCTGTTGCTTGAGTGCTACACTCCTGGCTGAGGCTCTGTGTTGTTAC